GCAGGGAGGTGTGAACCTGGACAACTCACCCCAAGGGAGAAACCCATGTGCCATCTCTAGCCCAGAGGAAAACAGGACAGACTCTGACTTTGAGTCACTGACCCAGGCTTGTTAACAGAGCCCAGAGTGGGTGGCCAAGCCATTTATGGGACAGCCTGGCCACATAGTGCTGGGAATCTCCAAATGTAAACTAGTCACAGTGGAGTTCAGGCTCTGTGTGGTAAGTTATTGTGGGAGGCCATCCGGAGGACTAGTTGGGAAGCTGTTTGGGGAGTCAGAGAATCTGGGAATCAGGCTCTAATCTCTGACTTTAGCCGGATGTGATGCTTCTTCTTTTGCCTCGTTTTTTTCTCTGTGGAGAGAAGATCCTGGCTGCTGCTCTTCCTGCTTCTTGGGGGATGGTACAGAGGAGTGATTACACACATGGAGGCAGATCCTGGGCCACCTGCCAGCCCGTCGACTCACCTTTTTGCATCTTGGTTTCCTCTAAGATGTCAAATGAGGACAGTGAGGATAGTGGCCTTATTGGGGTTGCTGGGAAGGGTGAGAGAGATGATGCACATTGAGCTTAGCCCAGTGCCAGGCACATCATCAGGGAGAAAGGCTGTGGGCCATTTAGACAGAAACAGCAGCCAACCCTGCCAGGTGGTGAGGAAAATGTCCTCTTTTTACTCTCACGTGCTGAAAAGTTGGGATATTGAAATGGGGTTTAGAATCCTGCACCATCAACTTACCGACTGGTGCTGAGACTCGAGGCAAGTTGGAAGAACATTCTGAAGCCCCCAGATTCCATGTGTTGCTAATCGTGAGATTGTGCCATCAATGAGCTGGCATGCAGAAATCATTTGGCCTGCGGAAAGCCCTGGCATTTGCTAGTTTGTTTGCTCAGTTGTGTTTGCTGCTTGACCTGCACAAACAGGCTTCCTGCAGTCTCTTTCTGACCAACCTAGGAATACCAGGACGCCTCCACCCTTCTCCTTGAAACCTCAGACCCTTGATTAGTGACCAACCTTGTGACAAAGGAGACCAAGCCAGACTGTGAACAAGCAAGGGGAAGGAACCAGGCACTGCGCGTTTCCTCCACATGGGACACTCTGAGAGCTGGAGGTGACATGATTTCAATGACTTCTTAACAGAACATGTGGAGATCTTGATGAGGACCTCTGACTTACAGATGGGGAGACTGAGGTGTACAGGGTGCCAGGGACTAGTGAAAGTCACACCGTCCCTACGTGGAGCCTACAAATGAATTCCAAACTTTGCTTAGTAAATACAGCTCCACTTAAAGCATGTGGTATAGACAAGGAGACTCTGGATCTGCATTCGGAGGCCAAATCCTTTAGATTTTATCATATTCTATATTGGGTTTCCCTCTCTGAGTCATGTTTCTTTGGGAAAAGGCTAAAACTTCCTGGGCTAATGGGCAAAGGGAAGAGAAAGTTGGCACCACTCCAGTACAGCCAGATGACCAGAGCAGCCCGAGGAACGCAATGGCAGCGAGGCCTTGCCCGCCACGGATTTAGAAGAAGCTAATAGAACTGGGAAAGGCAGAAACAGGAGCAGACAAGACAGAGTTTGCAGGAAAAGTCCGTATTTTTAATTCCTTTCTGGCCTGGGATTGGCCTTCTACCTTTCTCAAACTGAGAAGGATTTTTAGCCAGTTGGAAAGTTAGAAGCACCGAAGTAAATTCTCGTTATACACATAGGGAAACTGAAGCCCAGAGAAGAGAAATAACTTATACTGAGTTCCACAGCAAGTGAGTACCAGAACAGAGCCTCCCTAACTAGTATTTTGTCTGAATGTTTGTGCATTCATTTGATCTTACCTCAGTGGGTCCACTGAATGAAATTATATGGTAGATTGACTTCTACAGTAGCCCTGGCCCCTGTCCAGTCTGAGCTGGCACACAGTGAAGAAGTCACTTAGTACAAGAACAGTGTAAAGATAGGGTGTGAAGATTTAGTATGAAGGCCGTGGTGCCATCTTTGGCCAGATCAGTGAGATGTTCGAGATAAAAGAAATAAGGAGCCGGTCATGGCAGAAGAGTGCAAATGGCTACAGACTTCAAAGTAAGAAAACATTGGGAGTATTTGAGAAACCTATTAATAAATAATAAAGCCCAGGGAGTGAGGGGGGAAAAGAACTGGGTGAGGTGTGAAAATTGTGTAGAGATCAGTTGACACAAGGCCTTGCACTTGTGGTAAAGACTTTGTGTTTTATTGTAAGAGGCAGAAATTATTGAACCTGTGCCTGTGTGAGATGCAGATGTGATGATGTCCCTAATGGGTATTGCAGCTCAATAGGGAAGAGATTCAGGGAAGACATTAGAAGTAACTGGATCATTCTAATGGTAGAATGTGAGCAAGGGCAAGAGAAGGGGATGGAAAAAGGTATGGGTGAGTTGAGGACAAAGACATTGTCCACATGGTGGAGGTGCGAGATGAAAGAGGGACAGTAGGCATAGATGATAGTGAAATATGAGTTGTGAGAAATTTGATTCTGCACTAATGGATCTGGAGTTGAGCATCTTCCTATGTGTTGGGCCCTGTGCTGGGGCATTTGCATGTTTCTTCTTGTTTTATCCTCACTACTATATGACATATGGTACTTTTTTAAAAAATCACCCTTTTATAAATGTAGAAATTCAGTCATGGCAGTGAAGGAATTCTCCCAAAATCGCTCAGCTAGTGTGAGGTAAATGGATTTCAGTTCAGGCCTTTGGGCCGCTAGGGTGGTACTCTCCATATGCTAAGCTCAGTCATTGGAATTTGAGGTGACCCTGCCCTTGGTTTCCCCACTTGGACATGGAGAGTTTTCTCTGTCTCTCCCAGCTCTGATATTTCTTGTGCTCTTCTTGAAAGTTAAGAGGTTGTGGGGAAATGATTCTAGAAGTTGTGGAAGAACATTCTAGATTCTAGATGGGGGTACTCTAGATTAATTCCACAAGTTATGGAAGTAGGAAGGTCAATCTCCTGAATGGGGAATTGTGAGAAAAGAGAATCAAGCACATATTACTTTAAATTAAAAAGAGAAGCAAAGAGATGGCTCTGACATAAGTACAAAGAAAGAAGGGAGGGAGAAAGAAATGAAAATCCATTCACTCTGTGGCTTAGGCTCTGAGAAAACAAGAACGAATAAGACTTGGTCCCTGCCACAGTAGCCAAAAAGTCTGTGGGAGGATAGATCTGAGAGAGAGAAGGAGAGAGAGAGAGAGAGAGAGAGAGAGAGAGAGAGAGAGAGAGAGAGAGAAAGAGATTGTATATAAATGTATATTTGTGTACATTACACATACGTATATTTGAGTGCTTGGCATATGTTAAGTGCTATATTAAGTGTGTTTTGTGCATTATTTTGCTTATCCCTCATCACGTTGTCGGAGGTATGTGTGTATACCTTCATTATTCCTGTCTAATGAATGCATTTACTGAGCCTCAGAGAATCATCCCATGCCCAAGGTCACAACTTTATAGACGAGAATGCCATGCTGCCGATCTAAATCTTACTGATGTTCAGCCCGACGTTTCAAACTATTGCAAAAGTTTTAGGATGGAGAGAGGTTGGGAGCCAAGAGGATGTGGAGGGAAGGAAGAATGAGAGAGAATCAGGAAGGGCAAAGAGAAAGATTTACAAAAAAAAAAAAGAGCTGGCTATAGAGAACGAGCCCATAAGAAAGAACACTGAGAACGAGGGAGGGAAACAAAGATGCTCTCAGAGACTGTGAGCACTTGGAGACCCTGCCCAGGCAGGAGGCGAATGAGGTCATTAAATCCATCTGCGCAGATGGGGACCCTCTGGGGAAAGTTATAAGCAAATGTTATGATGCAATGAGGTGAAATCGACTTGCGTTAGTTCAGGCTGAGACTCCAGCAGGGACTGCACTGCTCGCTTTGGAAAGATGGATCGTGTGCTGGATGGGAAGACACTGTCTCTGTTGGGCTCTTCCTTTCAGTTTCTAGGAAGGCAAGTCGGCCCAAGGTCACAGAGCACATAAAGGATGGACTTGGAACCAGAACAGGGGCCTTTCACTTTTTCTCATGCTAAACCCTGCTTCAGAGGTCCTTAAAATAAATTTTGTTCAAAACCCACATGTGAATTATTTCCTGTTCAGGATTTCAGCCTAGGCCCAGAATACCAATATGAGCATTAGGCATTAGTGATGCTTTCTTCATTTTCTTTCTTTCTTTTTTTTTTTTTTTAACCACAGATTACCACTTTACCACTAAGCCATATCCCCAGCCCATTTTTAAGTTTTTTATTTTGAGACAGGGTCTCAATAAATTGCTCGAGGCCTCACCAAGTTGCTGAGGCTGGCTTGCAATTTGCAATCCTCCTGCCTCAGCCTCCTGAACTGCTGGAATTACAGGTGTGTGTCACTGTACCGGCTAATTATGTTTTCTTAAACTACAGTTCCACACCCTTTATTTCCCTTGATCATCAAGAGTTCTACATATTAGGTATCCCACTGTACAACTATATTAAACAATGTTGGGATAATGCATTAGTGTATTACAATTTTTCCAACATAATTTTACTCAGCCCTTTTAGTTGACAGTGGATCTTACATCTCAACTCTGAATATAGTAACCTGACACTCAGAGAGAAGTAGCTTATCTTTCTTTAAGTAACAGATCTCTTATCACTTTGGGCAAATGCCCGTCCCTTTCTCAGCCTCAGTTTCTTCATCAATGAAAGGGTGATTTTTTTTTTGTTGGAGTTTTTCTTAGAGAATTATAAAAGCAAATTAGTATTTTCTTGTCTGCAAAGTGTTCAGCACATAGCCTGTTACAAGGAGTACCTCTGCAAAGGGGACCTGCTATGATAATGACCATGGTGCTACTGATAAAAGTTATTGCAGTGCTAGCAAGAAGCTGAACCATGTCCAGATTTTGAATCTTCTCCTCAAATTCTGTGATGGTCCTCCTGCCCTGAGCTGCCTCTCTGATAATTACTACATTAGACTTAACCACCTAACTCACTCCCTTTCTGTTTCCCTCTGCAGGTCACCCCTTTCCCTATGTCCTGTGACCTACAAGGTGACTGTGCTTGTCGGGACCCTGAGGCCCAAGAACACAGCCGGAAAGATCTTCGGGGATACAGTCACGGCTAAGGAAGGACAAGAGTTTTCAAAGAATTCCCAACGCCAAGACCTACATCCCTTTGGTATTGATTTCACAGTCCGCTGCTCAATGGAATGGCCTCTCCACACCAGGGATCCTTAGCACCCAACCGGTCTGCCTTTAATTTCACCCAGGAAGGACTCAGAGTGGGGCAAATGAACCAAGTCTCGCCATGTTGAATGATGGAATGGAATCCCATCCCAAAATCTGAGATGGATGGCATATGCAGTGTGCAGTCCCAGAGCCTCCTAAAATTCTAACCATTTGTCATATGACCACAGCAAAAAACATGTTCTGTATCTAGGAGTATGCATATCTGTGGTTAGAACACATGCATGCATACACACCCATACAAACATCTGTGTGAGGACAGCTCTGGAGACTGAGCAGAAAGAGACTGGAACAAACTCAATCTTTCCTTTCCCAAGCTCCTAGCCAACACTATCCTTGGGAGAAAGAGAGTTACAGAAACTGCTAAGACCAAGTACTGAGATGCCAAGATTGCTCACATCCCAGGGCTCAGAATATGTACGGCATGCACAATTGTGCAGTCCTTTGGGATTAGAAGTGAAATGATCCGTGATCACCCACCTTCTAGGGAACTAGGGCCTAGGAAAAGGTAAAGATTCCAAGGTATGCAAAGCCCCCCACCCAATTATTCTGCTGCCATGGGGATTTTACCCCAACTCAAGGGTTCAAGGCCAAGCTGGAAATGGCTTAGGACTGCAAAGTCAAGGTATTATACCATCCCCCTGCTTGAGGCTTGAGGTCATAAGATCCCTCCACATCCCACCAGTTTCCCAGATCTTGCCTTGGGACCACATTTGCTGCTACTTTTCCTGCTGCTCTATCTTATACATTAAGTACCCCAAGATGGTAGAACTAGGTTAGGAAAAACCCCACACAACCAAGCAGTCTGCCTTAAAAATGACCCATATTTCCCACAGTTCCTCACTTAGCCCTTCTACAAAAGAAAAAAAAAACCCTCATGGGCCCACATGGTGAGAAGTTAAGAACCCGATGGGTGAGTCTCTTATCCTGGAAGGGAATTGAGGGACCTCAAATGCTGGAGCCCTTCCTGAGAGTCCAGAACGTCTAAGCCAGTGTTAGATTTTGTAATCAAGTGGAACAGTGTTAAGCTTCTGGGATGTCGGAGCCTTCCAGAGACTAGGAATTGACAGGACTGATGGATTCTTATGTGTCTCCTGGTCTTCCTAGCCCTCCAGGCCCGAGTCGGCATTGATTCTGAGACCCTGACTCTTGTTCTGAGTAGTTAGAATTCTGGAACAGAGAATCCCCTTGGATGTGATCAGTGGGGCTGAGTTCTACAGGGAAAACAGAGGGAAGCCCAAAAGATCACAGCCTTGGTAACCAATACGGTCATCAGGTTTTCCATATAATTTTCCAGCCACCAGGACTCCTTTCCACACCTGTGAATGGACAACCCCTCCCTCTCTTCCATGTTCAGCTTCCAAAAGTCAAGAGGAAATCAGCCAATGGAACATGGAAGTCTCCACCTCCATTAGGGCCTCTTTACCTCTTTCTAGTCAGTTGCCTGTCCGTGCCCTTTGAATTAATATGGGAAGACATTCATTATTACAGGATGAAATGGAGACAGTTGTTAAACCTGACATATTTTTTGAAACCTGGAGCTGGGACGTAAGGAGATGGGAGGGTTTAAACTAATTATATCCATAGAGATTACTGTAAATCAAGTGATCTCCAGTCTAGTGAAGACAACCAACAAAAGCAAAGTCTAGGACAGAAATGGAAAACGCCAGGCACATGTGCAGCCCCTCCTAATTCCTGCTTCCAAGGCAGGCTTTATTAATCCATCATGTCCCCTTTTCCTATTGGGACCAAAAATAACTTCAGAAATAATCTTATTACTCCCAACAGCCATTACCTGTTGATTAAGAACACTTGAAAAGGCATCTATTGGCCATCTGTAGTCTGTTATATTAAGAAACATATCTGGTGCCTTTTGCACAGGTGCCCACAGATGCAGTGTTGAGTTTATTACAAACTCTGAGATTAAGTTCCAGAATGGGGAGGCTACCACCACTGTGCAGGCCAGGCTCAAATCCTTTATATTTCCTCCTTTAAAAACATATCACATTTATATTGAGGGATTTTTTAAATTACCAGTGCCGATCCTTAGCAAAAAAAAAAAAATGGTAATAATAATAATAAGAAGAAGAGTGCTAGAAGAATTGACCTTACTTTCTAACCTTCTTCATATTGTAGAACTCTTGAGAACTCTTAGGGCCCCTCTCTTGCCCTAGCTGAGTTAGCAAACTGAAGTGTTAGTTTAGAAGGTGCGAGCTAAGAAAGGTAATAGGGCCAGACCTTTCAGAGACTAAATTATACCCATAAATAATAGAAAAAGCTCTGAAACCCAAAACTGGCATTACTAATGATAGGATTGCAGGAACCGTGGAGAAATCTCACCAACTCCCCTTATGTCAATCCTAATACCATGTCCGCCTTCATTCTCATCGTCCTCTATCCTATCCCTATATTCTCCACCTGAGCAAAGATTCCCAGAGGCTGGCTTTCATCTTCAGATCCTCATATTCCATGGAGTCCTCTGGGTAAAGACCCACCCAGACTCTTCCTCACTGTCATTCAAACTTGTTATTTGTAGAGGATATTAGGCAGAAGAGGCTGCTTGATTGGTGGCCAGCCCCGGGCTCACAAACAATGTGTAATTAATAGACTTTTCTCTAGACTTACTGGAAGCATCAGTTCTATCCATGCAATGCAATGCACTGATGCCCAGTTCCATTTTCTCCTTGGGAATAAACTCCTTGTCACCTCCCTTCAGTTATCTGCTTGGGACAATGGAGTACTCAAGAGGAGGTGTCTCTGAAGCACTGCTATATATCCACAGTCCAGGGGCCCTAAGATGCTTAGGAGCTCTGCATCTGAAGAAGTATTAGCCTGTTAGCAGCAAGAAAGAAAAGAAGAGGGGGACAATTCTCTAAGCCTGTCCTGGGAAGTCTTTCTAAACCACAACCTTAACTGTCTGTTCAGAGGATTTGCATTACCCCCAAATTCTGTGCCAACGATCTTGCAGGCAATCCAGTCCTTGGTCAGTCAGTTTGGGTTGGCAAATGGGGTGTAAAGGAAGAGAGAGACTAAGATCAATAGCAGGCCTTTGGAGATGGAGGGTATCAGCTGCTACTTTTGGCTTCGGCACATTGGGTCACTGCCTAGATAATTCTCTTGGTCTTATTCCCATCTTGGCCAATGGTTAAATGCTATTTGTTGAAAATAATTCTTTGAGACAGATTTCAGCTACCTCCCTTCCAGGTTTGATTTAACTTGGTTGTAACTGTCAATTTGTTATAGGTCTTACCTGTGTTTAAAAAGAAAAAAAAAAAAAGAAAGTGAGTAAGAGAAAGAAAGAAAGGGTGAAAAGGAAGGAAGGAAACCATAAAGTCAACAGTTTTGAGGTTTTGTGTTTTTTGTTTTGTTTTGTTTTCTCTGGAGCTACTTCAAGTGAGAAAATATATAGAAGGAATTGATGGCGACAGAGCTGTACAGATAGAAATAAATAGAGAACAATTACATTAAAAGGAAATAAAAATGCATGATTCACAACTAAGAATAAAACCCTATTTTTATGTTTCCTAAAGAAAATTGTTTATTCTACAGACCAAGTAGTTAGACCCAGCATAAAGATTTCCGTAGAAAACAGAGAGTGGGGTTTTATAACACTGTTATTTTCTGTACATTGTGGTAGGTCCAGTTAATATGGCATTTCCCCCTTGGTGGTGTTGTTGTTGTTGGGGGGTGCTTCTTGCAGTTGTTGGGTGCAGTTGGGATAGCAGGGCATGGGGAGGGCTTTTATTGATTTTACCCAATGTTAAGGAGAGGTACCACGTTGCTCTGCTTTTCCTGCTATGAGGTGTTTACATCCACCAGTGTAGCACAGGGTTTTATATAGACTGCACTCAGGAGCACACCGCAGAGGCCCATTTCCTAAACAGCTGCTACGTGACCAGACAGGTAATTCCAATGTGCTTTGAGCCACAAAACAAACCGAGAAAACAACAAACACAAAAGGTAAACAGCAGACGAATCAAAAGCCTCTGTGTAATTTTCTTCAAATTTTGCCAAATTGCTACCAGTCATTTGCTTTTGATGAGCAATATACTCACAGCCAAGAGAGCAGTGAGGTCCCCACCACAGGGACCTCGAATTCTCGACTCCAGGTAGCAGTTTGTTCAGTGATCTTGAACAAGTGATCCAATTGCCTCTACGTTTTCCTCAGTTTCTCTAGCTGCAAAATGGGGATACTACTACTTACCTACCTCACAGTGGGAGGGCAGAGGATTGTGAGGCCCTGAGGTTTGAAATGGGCTGTGGCCATCTGTGAGGACCAAGTTCTGCCATGAAGTCCATGGTTATTTTTTCAACGCAGGGGTCCATTGGCCTTTGAAGGAAGATAGGGAGTCCTGTTGATATTCCAAAGCATAAAGCTAGAGCCCCTGGATTACTGCCCCCCTTAAGAGAGAGACTTGGATTGAGGAATACTTCACTTTTTAGCTCAGCCCCCTCCCCCGCCCCCTTATTCTGGCCTTGACTGGTTCCATGATTTGATTACAGGCCAGTGACTTCCTACAGAGTAAAAGTCAGTTTACTGTTGTCTATTGAAGACTTATGGGCCATTTCCACCTTAGAGAGAGGAAGGGAGTCTCTAAGGTCTCCTCCTGCACAGACTCCTTACTTCTCACACTTCAGCTTCCACATCGAGTGTTCCACGAAAAAAAGAGACGGCATTCTGCGTGCAAACCCGTCAGGCTTCTTAAACTACACACCAGCAGTCAGTGAGGGGAACTTCCAACAATTACTGAGTTGCTTTCTTGGGTCTCTATAATCAATAACCCGTCTGCAGATATCTATCTATATAAAGATATTATATATAAATATAAATTTACATATATATGCACATGTATATATAGTTGTACATATATGTGTGTATATATATACTTAAATGTAATATTTACAAAATAAAACTGTGATCTCGTCTAGAGAAAATGTATTCATATTACAAACTGCTCTTCCATATTTATGTATCATATTATGCCTTTTTATTATTGTTATAATTATTATGGGTATTTCTAATTATTATGATGTTGAAATTTGGCACCTTCTGGAAGCTACCAAAAAATGACTCCATTGAAGTGCTTAAAATCTGTTCTCATGAGAATTCTACTGGCCTACTGTAAAAAAAAAAAAAAAAAAA